GTAAGAAGCATGAACATCATAATGTGGGCTGTGTAACAATCTATGCATATTTCATTACATAGAAACACCAACTGACTTAAGAATAAACAACCTAAAACAAAAAAACAAACAAAAAAAAATCAGAAGGCAACAAAGAAGAAAAATAAGGGAAAAAAAAAACAACAAACCAAAACACATTTCCCCCTGCAAATCAAATTATCACTTATTAGGTCCTTTATGATCCCTTTTCACCGCTGCTTTTGAATCCTCCTTTGCACAGAGGAATACAAAGTTTTTCTCTTCAATTCATCAGCTCCTTTTCACTCCAAAGCTCACCATTTAGGCCTTTGCAATACATAGTGCTAGAAAATCAGAAACAACAAGAAGAAGCCCACGTTTGCCCTCAGCAGAGTCAATAAATGGCACATTTGATGCTCTCTCATACATTTTGAGCCAAGTCCACATACACCTACTGCCCTGACACCTCATCCATCAGCTCTTAAAGCACAAGAGCAGCGCCCCACAAGCAAACCTCTTCTCTCCTACGCCATCTCCAGAGTTGAGGCCCAGATGAGAAACAGCCTTATCTTCCAATATAACAAGGATACACCTCTAAGATCAGACCTTGGCAATTTGACCTAAAGCCATCCTTACTTGCAAAACAAAGTCTCCATCATCTTCAGAGCAAGAAGGAAAGAGAGTGAGAGGGGAAACAGGGGTGGGGGTAGGGGGTAAAGTCCAGTCCTCTCTGACCTGATTGGAAACTTTGTTGTGGCAAAAAGAAGAAAAAAAAAAATCTCTTTGGCCAGTTGAGAAAGTTCCTATGGTTGCTCTTGTATTGGGAGGGTCTGTTCGGGGTTTCTCAATCTTCTTTTCTCTCTCTCCCCCTCTCTTTCTCCCCTTCTCTTGTTTCAAAAGGGGCCTCTGGTCAGCGCTGATTAATAAGTGTTTTTTGTTGTGAAGTGTTGAATAATAGAAGATGGCCAGTGACCCAGGAAAGACTAAACCTTGTGCTACTTTATTGTGGCAAGCTGAGAAAGGGCTTTAGGACAGAGACCCCAAGCACTGACCCGCACACATCCTGCGGATTCCCTATTCATTCTCACAGCCTTCCAGTCGCCCAGAGCTCCCATTGTTTGCCAAGCAACAATGGAGATTTTGCACAGAAAGTAAAGCTCTCTTCAGATTCCTCCCTGATGGTTTGCATTTGGGGAAAAAACCATCCTTAACATGGGGCTGGGTTTTTCTTTCCATTAACTGAATTTCATGAAAACTCTTAGGATTTGGGCTTTTATTCTCATCACTCAAGACTTCCTATACAAACCCAAGAAAATAAATGCTGTCTCTTAATAAATTCTTTAAAAAAAATAAATAAATTACACAACACATTTTTCCTGGGGTACCATTTCCCTAGCGATTTAAGGGGGAAAATTAGGTTTCTTTTCTTTTACTCCTTAGCATATCACTATGCTTTATTGCACACTACATATTGCTGCAGCTCCTAAAAATAACTGTATTCAAGCATCCTCTTTTCTGAGTGGGAGCCAACTGGAGAGTGCTGCTCCTTTCCAAAAAAAAAAAAAAAAAAAAAAAAGAAAAGGCAGAAGATTGAAATCTCTCAGTTCATTTCTGCCCTGATTAGGCAAGCCTAGCTTTTATCTCCTCACAGGCTGGCCCCTTCCCCATGCTCCAAACAAAGGGTTCATCCGCAGCCACCAAGGAGGGCAAATGCCACTCAGTAGACTTGCTCTGATTTACCTGTAGGGCCCAAACCACATTTCTCATTCTAACCTAGGCATTTATTTGCGCTCTAACCATGTGGATAAATAACTCTTGCAGCTGTCAAGCCTTTGGGTAGGAACACAGTTAGATGGATCAGAGGCCTCAGGATCGCAGAGTTTTGTTTAATTGCTTTCTTTGGCCTGTTATACACAGATTTCCATTCTTCTATGGCATCCACTTACACATGTCACCAAGCAGCTAAGAGGTTTGGGTGTTTGGTTGTGCCTTGTGTTTGCGGGTTTTGTATCTTGTGAATTTACTAGGCATAAAATTAAAAAGAAAATAAAGAAAGAAAACAAAAAAGAGCAGGAGGAGGCAGCAATTGCAATCAATAGGACAAATTCCTGTTAGATTGCTAAAAATGGGACTTCCCCCCTCAGTTATTTGCATTTATAACTGGCTGGACATTTTTATCAGGACCATTGCTTTCTCTCAGTGTTTACACCTGTGTAGGGAGGTCTAGAAATCCACGCTTTGGAGGTGAGGGAGAAAAGACCAGTCTGTCAGAGAAACCTTTAACAACTGAAGGGGGAACAACAGTCTTTATTAAGGATATTGGGTAGCAGAATTACCTTGGCAGGGGCGGGAGGCGTTGTAAAACAACCATTTGCAAAAGGCTTTCAGGCTGAAACCCTTTCATCGGTGGCGAGGGGAGGGGGAGGCAGGGCGGGGGCTCGCAAACCCCCAGCTATCTCCATTTGTCAGAGCCACAGAGGAGGGGTCGTAAAGCCAGCGGCGCAGAGGGGTAGCTGCCCGGTGGTCCAGAGCCGGACGCGGCTACAAGTGCAATGAGCGCGGCGGGCTCAGCCCGGAGCCAAGGAGGGGCGGCGCTGGGGACCCCAGCCTTTCACTTTCATGCCCACCACATCCACTTAAAACGTTAGGAAAGGGAGAAAGGGGAAAAAGGGGGGGGGGGGGGGGAGAGGGGGGGCGGGAAGCAAGCGCCTTGCTGCATTGTTCCCCCGCCGAATTGATATGCTAATTCCCCTTGTGAGGGCACCACAAAGAACACCTTGCACTTCTGAAAGACTTTTGTGTCCTGGCCCGAGAAGTTTATTATCAACTAATTAGCAACAACTTCTAGCAATGAGTTGGGTTACATTTTCATAAGCTTTGAACAAACATCCTGAGCTGCGTCGTGTCAGGATGATGGGCTTGCTAAGGAAAATAGAGTCCTAAATCAGGGAACGAGCTTCCATAATTAGCGCCTGCTATATTTGGAGCCTCTGTCCACGTAGGTCTTCTTTCTGAGGCTTTTGATTCAGGATTTTGCTTCCAGGATTGCAAAGGACCATGGCAAGCAGTCTACAAAACAAAATCTTACTCTGGAATGACTAGACACTTTTTTTCCTCATGTTAAGGCTCTTTTCTTGCAACCGAGGAGTATTTCAAATGACCCTGATAATGCACCAAGGATAATCAGTATATGAAGAAGCTCAATACAAGCATACTCCTATTAAATATTATTTAAAGAGGCTTGTTGCAGGCAGTCTAGCACTTCAGATATAAAACTCGTCTGGGAAAACGGACGGTTATATTTGAAATGACAAAAAGAAAACACCTTTAGATTTCACAGGTTATTTGTTTGTTGGTTGGTTTTGTTTGTGTGTTTTAATTCCATGTTACTCATGTTACACTTTCAAAAGGAGGAGGAACTGGTTTTAGGACACCTCTTTCTGTAGACTACTTGTATATTTGGAAGCAAAATGATATGCTGTTTCCTTGGTTTAACGTGAAACTGGGGGAAAAAATAGAGGACTTCATTTTATCACTGTAGTCAGCACTGGTTATTTTATTCTTGGCTTTATGTAATCAGAATAGGGCAGAAACAACCCTCTGAAGCTAAGGACATTCTAAGGTTTACTGACAATTCTTATGGACTGGAAACAACATATATTGTGGAGTTTTAGCTTTCGAGGTGTAGGATTTGGGAGAGGGAGGAAGGATCGTACTGCAGCTCAAATCAGTACTAGATTGATGTTGCAGTTCACATGTGGATCTCCAGCATGGCCTTTCTGAGCCTGCCCTGGTCCTGAGGAGAGGGCCAAGGAGCCTGGGATCCTTGGGCCCATTCAGATACAGTGGGTGCTGGGATGCAGAAGAAAGCAGCTCAGCCATGGCTGCTTTTACAATTTACCTTATTCTCTGCTATTCAATTCATTTAATGGGTAAACACACTGTCCACCACTTGGTCTCTTTCTGTCCCCTTCTCCAAGTGATTTCATTTGATTAAAATCCTAAAAGGTGGTATAATGTCTTATTGAAACCCTGTAATGTAAGGTGTGGTAGTGGATTAGAGTCCTTCATTTCCTTTCAATAATCCTAAATGCAGCTATCTCTGGTTCCTTAATCTCCTCTAGAGTCGGATTACCATCCATTTCAGCAAGTGTAGCTGGAATTAGGAGATGACAAGGATGCAAAGAAAGTGCCAAGAACCTAAGGTGACCAAGATGTTAGGGTGCCCCTGGGGTCCCTCAGGGCCCCTGGTCCCCAGCACAGCCCTTCCCTGCAGCTCCACATCAGGAAGGGCCACCGCTGGGTTGTTTTAGCGCTTCATTTGTCTCATGACAGGCTTCTGCCAGCCCTGTGGGTGTCAGACTCTGACATGGCCAGGCTAGCCACGATCTGTCATGCACAGATGGGGGGGGTGTGTGTATACATATATATATGCACATATATAAAAAAAATAACATTTTTATATATATGTATGAGCATATATACACACATATACCCATGGATTTTCCTCTACTGGGAAAGAAGAATCAACATAGAATACCTGCTGAAATGTGGAGCAAGTACAACCATGCTCATACTTTTCTCTGTCAGCCTGGAAAAAGTAACCCAGCATGAAAACACATGTATGTTTTAAACAATCCCTCATATTTGATTGAAATTGAATATGCCACCACGTATATTTAAGATTGAAGCTTTATTTTTAAAGGCCTGTAATCCTTTCAAGGAGATTTTGTTGATTGAAGACTTCATTGGAAAGTAATTGTGGATTGTACAGCCCTGACCTTTGCAGGAAACAGGGTGCAGGTCTGCCCAGCTTAGAAATACTGTGCATCCATTTCTTGTGAAGCTCCTGCAGACTAGCTAAGTATGCATGTAAGTTCAGGAATTTAATTAAAAGGTTACAATTAGTGGCTCAATCGTCAAAGTTGGGGACATGGTATTTTTATAATACGTAAAATACATGATCTAAATATACTTTATAAAAAAACACATAACCAAACGCCCTCCCCCAAAAAATAAAAAAGCAAATTAAGGCCAGGCCTTCTACACAAATTGGAGGCAGCTAAATGCTCTTTTGTGCCTGCAGCTCTAAGGAGGCTGTGATGCATGCGAAGGAAAGTGACTGACTTAACTCATTGGGATTCAGGGAACGACCTGCCCTCTTTTGAAAAAAAAAAAAAAAAAAAAAAGGAAGAAGAAGGAAAGTAAGTGTGTATGTGTGTGTGTGCGTGTTCATGTGTCTGTGTGTGTGAGAGAGAGAGAGGAGGGGGAGACTCACACAGTCCTGCTTTCCTGTGCTGAGAGCTACTGGTTCCCAAGCAGAAAGTATGAAGAAAAACCCAGCATCTTGTCTCTTCGCTGCATTTACACAATGAAATCACTCTTATTTTCATTCCTGCTAACAGGCCGGTTTTGCCTGCATCCACTTCGAGCCACGGACGATGGGAACAAAAAAGTACTTAAAAAAAAAAAGCAGACAAAAAAATACATATATGAAAAGAAAGAAAAAGAAAAAAGAAAAGGAAAATAAAAAACACGCTGGGGTGAGGATTGCTCACTTTAGCGCTGGCTGTAAGTACAAAATTTCTTGCTGCATTTCATAGGGATAGTGAGAGGCTGTTGCAGTTTAGGTTGGGGATGTTTGGGTTTGGTTTGGTTCTTTGTTGTTCCCACTATCTCTTTTTTTTCATTATTATTATTATTACTTTCAAATATCACCCGTTCTTTATCAGTCTTCTGCTGAGTTACTTGAATAAGAAAATAAAAGCCAAGGGAGGGAGTGCTACGGGCTGCTGAGCTGAGCGGAGCCGAGCAGAGCCATGCCGTGCCGAGCCGCGCCGTGCAGAGCCGAGCGCGGCTGCAGGGCAGCTGCCGGAGGCTCGGAGCTCCCGCGGGCGCGGGGGAATGCCGGGTGCTGGCGAAGCGGGGGGCAGACGGCTATATTCGACATCAATTATGTGGCTTCAGATGGGCTGAAAATGCATTTTATCTTTTTCTTTTTTTTTTTTTTCCTGTCACGGAGGTGTGCACGCCCCTGTGTGTACACTCTTATCCTTGGGCAGCGTGGCCCTGCTCGAGTTTCTGTGGTGCAACGCGAGTCCATCCAGCTTGAAGGAATGTGGTGGTCAAACCAGCTTTCTAGCTGGTTTGGGGGAATTCCTTCCTCCCCCCCTCCTCAAGTGTACATGTGATAGCGGTACTTTTTCCTGGCAGGATTTGATTTAAATAAACTAAGATCAAAACTGTCTCCCTTTCGCCTAGCCTGGTCGCTTTTCTCCCCCTCCCCTTCCTCCTTTCTTTCTTTCTTTCTGTGTGAGCACTCCTGGGAAAGCTGATCGGCTAGAGGGGAAGGCTTTTGAAATCGTGGGGGAAAATGTAAGAGAATTCAGAGAGTCCGGGCTTTCTTTGTGTGGTGCTGAAGCCGCGGAGCTGCTTTGTGCTTTGGAAGGAGAAAATGGCGAGTCCTATTGTGTTTAGGCCATTTTCTTCCGGTACAAGGGTTTTCCCCCAAATCCTAAATACTTCAGGACTCCTTTGAAAGAAGTCTCCCAGCCCACGAAGTGTGAATGGCTGCAGCTCTGCCTTTTCCCCTGCCGGCAGTACCTCACGTTTAAGAGAGCCCACACATTTCTCCTTGCAGGGCTAGTGCACAATCCCTAAAGCTGCTGCATTCAGAGCTTCTTGCATTGGAGCGGCTATTTCAGCTGCTCTTAACCCGCGTTATTCAACTCAGGGGAGTAGGTTATGAGAAGAGGGGGACGAAAGAAATAATAATCCAAGACTTGTTCTTGCTTTAACATGCTAAAAAGGGGCGACGCTAGCCAAAGAGGGGAGGGGAAAGATCATCTGAGAAAAAACTTGTGAACCGCTGAGTGATGGTCTGAATTTTCCGCTAAATTATTTAAACTTTATGTATACATACATGTATGTGTATGTGAGAGAGTGTGTATGTATGTGCCTACAGATGTAGCCACATAGCAAGAAAGAACATTAGGCTCGCAAAGAGGTCGTGTACACATAATGTGTGATTTTAGAGTGTATTTAGTCACTGTGTGGAAATTGTTCCTGCTATAGCATGCAATGAAAAAAAATAGTTTGGAATGTTGTCAGTTCTTTTCAGGTGAGCTGATAGGCAGGTACTCAGATACTGAAAACCGCCCCTGAATTTTCACATTAATCTGTTAAAGAAAACAAATGAAAGTCCAAGGTTTAAAGACCGTTGCCCGATATTAACCACTTTTCATTATCATATGGGCTTTCCCAGGCGTCAGGGATTAAAAGCACTTTGAAACAGGAGAGCTATGAAATAAAACCTGAGAAAGGAAATTCCTGTGCACCCTGCCTCTCCTCCTTCTAAATGCTGATTTTTTTTTTTTTTAAATATTAGATACTAATAAAGCACAGGCGGATTTGGAAGTGTCCTGGAAGGGCCGGCGCGCTCCCTGGCCTCTCCGGCAGCTGGCAGCGCGGGCGCGGAGGGGCGCGGAGGGGCGCGCACACCGCGGAGAGCAGTGCTGTTCAGCCGCCGGCTGGTCAGCACCATGGACAGGGGCCGTGTGCGTGGCCGGGGCCCGACTAGAGATCACCCTGGGGAGAAAAGGGCGTGAATCAGGGTGCCGACCCCCAAAACGGAGGGGAACTGATCTGGCCTGCCTTTCTTGTTTTTCCTTCCGTGTGGCTGCTCAAGTTTACACACGAAAGACTTGAGAAATTGCGTTTACAATTCTCCAGCATGAGAACAAACTCTATTAAAATGCCTTGCTAGTGATTTCTCACTGCTCACAAAAGCAGCAAATGGATCTCTCCCTTCTGCATACGGTTGCTTTTTCCCCCTCAACTCCGAGCCAAAAATAAGTCTCCTGCTCGGATCAGATGAATGACAGTGGTGTAAATTAAATTGATTTTATCAGTGACCAAGTTCCACAATTGGAAAAATTAAATGCCACTTTGACAGACAAGGATAATATGGAACAGATCTATAAAACAGCTTCTTTGAACAACAACAACATCAACAGAAGCCTAGGTGCTGGCGAATCCTTCTTCTTCATCCCGCTGTATTATGTCACATCATTTAGTTTGCCTTTCTGCAGTATCGAGATGACAGAAACCATTGTTTGATGCAAAGCGACTAGCAATGATGAGTCATGGACTTTATGCCACAGCAAAGGCAACAACCATGGGTCCCAGGCAAATTTCTTTTTTATTTATTATTTATTTTGATCACGCTTCTAATTGGATTCCCCTTTCAGATGCACTTTGCAGCACTTCCAACCCACCCCACAGTTCTAGAATACCCATCATGAAACTCAGAGCTGAGCTCCAGGAGTGACAAACCGCTGTGCTTCCACCTAAGAATTGCACAAACGCAACTTCCAAGTCCTTTAGCCACGAAAAAAGCCCTATTTTGTGCCTCCCGCCGGCTCCCCAAGGCAAGAGAGGCCTTGAGCGACCTCCGCGCTCTCTGCCTGCGCTGGCCCGGTTCGGCTTGCTGCCCACCCGAGATGCTGCCTGCCGCAGGGCTTCCGCATAGCTCTGCGGCCGCGGGAGATGGTTTTCCCCTCACGGCCAGCTTCTGCCCGCTGCTCACCCCCGGGACGGGCATAACGGGAACAAAGCCCTCAGGGGGCCGGCCCTACAGCTCTCTCAGCCTTGTGCTGGGGTCCAGAGTGGGCCGGGTCGGAGGTTAAGGAGGCGCGGAGACAGGGGGAGCGACGGTGCCGCAGTGAGGAGGGGTCGGCTGCTGTGAGGGGAGGGTGGCCTCTGGGTGAGCCGGGAGCGGCCTCCTCTTCCTCTCTATGACTGTACAGATTCATGTGACATTGAGGTTGGGGAGGTGGGAGGAAGGCGGGGGAAAGTGGGGGGAGAGGAGCCGGAGGGAAGGGGGAGGGTTGAACTTTCTGCTGGGATCGTTTTTTCACACCTTTCTCTTCAGACGATGCGAGAGGACGTTTTGGGAGAAAGCAGCTCGGCGGGGTCCCCTCCGAGCAGGTCCGCCTCGACCTTGCAGGGACCCGGCCGGGCGGCGCTGGGCTGGGATTGTGCCGGGTTTCAAGGACACGGGAGATGATCAGGACTTTGGGAGCCAACATCTGCCTGGCTGGTGACGTCAGCAACCCCGTGTAATCCTCTTGTACGGAAGGCAGATGCCTTATTTGTTTGGCTGGAGAGGCATTAATCCCTAATTCTGGAGCAGCAAGCGAGGCTGAGAGACCGGACCGCTTCCTACCCCCCAAAAGCAGCTAACAGGGCTCTCCTCGCTGCGCTCCGTAGCTCCGGCTGGGTGGAGGAGCCGCCAGCCCTCGGCAGGTTTGACTGTTTTGGTTTTTATTACGATTTTTAAAGTGTTTGGAGCGGGTTGATAGTACTTATTTTTATTTGGATGCTTGGATTTCTCCCCATGGATTTCGCACTTTGCTGTCTTGCGTTCTTCAAGCCGAGAAAGAAGGAAGAACTGCGCCCCCCCCCCCTTAATTTTTTTCTTTTAAATTGTTTTTAAATATATTATAATTTTAAGCTTCCCCCTACTTTTGCCCTTGGGGGATTTTGCAGAGGCGGGCAAGGAGGTTGCTGTCTGCGGTTACCCGCGGCTGGCCGGTTCCCACCGCGCTGCAGAGACCCAGGTACCGGCTCGCCCTGGCGCTGCGATGAGGGGCGTTCTGTCTTGTGCCTCCTCGGTTGCGGAGTGAGCAGTCCAGAGGCTCGGGTCTGGCCGGCCCCAGCTTCGCGTCAGTTCGTGTGGCCCCCCTTTCCCTTCCCTTCTCCTCCTTCCCTTCTCCTCCTTCCCTTCCTCCCCTTCCCCTTTCCTCCCCGCCCTTCCCCTGCTCTGATTCCCCCCTCTCTCCCTTTTGTCATTGACAACCGAGCGGCGTGCGGTCTCCCGGCGCCCTTCCCTCCTTGCCTTCCTTTCCCTTCCCTCCCCGCCTGCCTTCCTTTCCCTTCCCGCCTGCCTTCCTTCCCTCCCCGCCTGCCCCTCTAACGCTCTCGCTTTGTCTGTTTTCCAGGCGGCCGCAGGCAAGAGCTGCGGTGCCGGGAGGGGCCGGAGCCCCCTGACCAGCTTGCCTCAGGATGCCCCGGCAAGCCACGGGAGAAGTCCCCAGGAAGGCCAGCTCTTCGCCGGAACCCGGCAGCCGCCGCTGCGCACCCTGCTTTGCCTCCTCTCTCTCTCCCGGCCCCTGGGGCAGAGACAGCAGTCGAGGTCAGCCCGCCCGTTTCCCAGGGTCTGGCCGGGGTTCAGCCCTAGGGCGATGCATGGTGCATGGCCGCTCCGCTCCTCTACTCTGTGCCATAGGCACCGAAAAGGAATGGTCCCCGTCCTGAGCCGTGAAAGATGGCAGTAGGCGTAGTAACAATTTAAAAAAAAAAAAAAAAAAAAAAGGTCAGGATGATTTTTTTTATTATTATTATGATTATTGTAATGACTTCACCCCTCATTTCCTCACTTGCCCCATTCAGTGCAGGCCAGATGGGCTGCCCAGACCCTCCCGGGAAAGGGGCAGGTGCGAGTGAGCTGAATTTTTTTCCGCTTTACAAAGAAAGATGACACGTCCTGCCCTTTCATTTTTCACCGCCGAAAGACCCCTTCTGCCCCTTGCTCCCCCCCCGGCCGAGAGGAGCTGCGATGCTCTGGGGGTGCGGGCTCCCCCCGCCCGCCATCCGGCGGAGCCGCAGGACTGGGGCAGCCGGAAAGACACAGTCCCTCCCAGCCAGGGATGCCAAATCACAGACGTCGAGTCGGGGAGAGCCAACTCCTGCCTTTAAAATCACGCGAAGACGCTGGCGAAATTAAAGTAGTCTCCTGGAACTGTGCAATAGGCACAAGCTTAACTTCTTCCTCTCTTTTTAATTTCTTTTAAAAAAATCAATTAAATTCATATTTAACAGCTTCCTGGGCATTGCAAACAACAGACGGGCTAGTAAGAAAACTCAAGCAGGAATTACATGCAGCCCAGGCCAGGCTGGGACTAGGGCGGAGGCAAATTACCGTTTTTTTTTCGGGGATCAGTTGCTATTCTGCTTCCAGAATGAGAGAGAGAGAGAGAGAGAGAGAGAGCTCCAAGGCTCTGACTCTCCGTGTTCACAGCGGACCTTGATTTAATGTCATACAATTAAGGCACGCGGTGAATGCCAAGAGCGGATCCTCAAGGCAGCATGAAAGATCTCGCTAGAATATAACATAATAATAACGTTAATAATAAAATTAACAGCAATAAATTAGAGTTTTAAAAAGGGGGAGAGACAAAGCAATAAAGAGCTCGACAGCCTGTACTCACCTACGGAAACCGAGACTAAATAGAACTGTCGGAACGAACGGCTCAGCCCGGTGGAGAGGAGATGCCGCTGCCACGGGACGGGGCAGCTGTCAGCAGCAGGTAACGGGGCCGTGGCGGGTCCCGGGGCGGTGCGGCAGCCGTGGTGTTTTTTCAAGGTTAGTGGCTACTCGACCTCTCGCTTTCCTGGGCTGAACCATGTAAAGTCGATTAATGGGAAATAAATATATTTTCTAATATTGTAATCGAGAGGATTGTTCTTTGCGCATCGCGCAGCCGGTAGCTAGGAATGCTCGTTCGATAACGGCTCCTTATCTTGCGGGGCGCCTCTGTAAGCCGCGGGATGCAGGCTCTGGGGCAGCGGAGCAGCGCGCAGGGGGGCGCGGAGCAGCATCTGTGCTAGGGACCGGCAGAGCCATGTGCGGCTTTGGTGCAGGGAGCGAAGGGTATCAGGGGCGGAGGGGGCACCACAGTAGAGCTGTGTGCGAAGGCGCAGCGCGGAGGCGCGAAGAAGAGCAGTGTGCGGAGGTTGCGCGGGGGGGGGGAGGGGGCGGCGGGGGGAGAACGATGCGGAGAGCAGCGGAGCGGCGTGCGGTCTTTGTGCGCGGGGCGAGGCGCAAGGCGGCGGTTTAGGAGCGCGGAGCGACGGGCGACAGCGGCGGGGGGTGTGCGGGGCAGCTCACGCGGGGAGAGGGCGCGGGGGGCAGCGGCGCAGAGTGCGCGGGGGCAGGTGCATGCGCGGCCGGAGCACAGGAGACAAGGCTTCGGTGGAGGTGGCGGCAGTGGCGAAGCCACGGCGGCGGGGTGAGCGAAGGATGCGGGGAGGGGAAGGGAGAGGCCGGGGGTTCCGCGCAGTCGGCGGCGGAAGCCTTTGTTCCGCGGTGCCTCTCCGGAGGCGGAACAAAGGAGCGGCGGATCCGAGCACAGGCCGAGGCCGCTTCTTGCGCTGTCCCTGGTGCTGGAGGTGGCACCGAGCTCCCACCGCGGCCCGCCGGCACCGCCTGTTCCCGGCCAGACTCCTGGCGGCACCGGGCCACCGGCGCAGCGGGAGCTACCCCGGCGGAATCAAACCCAAGCATCCCAGAGGGCTGGAGTGCACTGGAGTGAGAGACGGGCAGGGCAGAAGTGAGGAGGCAACTGCCTCTACGGTATCCCCGGGCTGTTCCCCAGCACATTCCTCCCAGTCGGCCTCCCCCCAGCCTGAAAGAGCCAGGTTTGAAGCACGTTCTCAGGGCTCTGTCCAGCTCCCATGTAGGCGCCATCCGTGGCCATCTGCTGTGGCCTAATTCTGCTCTGCCATCTATCAAACAGCAGCCACAGTCGGCAAAAGCAGGGGACGCTCTCATGCACTAAATAAGGCAAACCGACTAAGTAACAGTGATAACCACAAGAACAGTAATGGTAACAATACTATCTGTCTAGAGGTTAGAGAGCTTTGCCTTCTTTCTTGCTGCACTCAGCAGACAGCCCTGATCGCAGTGTGGTTTTTGTCAGAGACTGGATTGCAGATGGGACTGGTCGCCCTTCTCTGCAAGGGGATAAAGGGAACAGTTCTTGCCCAGACTGGATTGCAGATGGGACTGGTCACCCTTCTCTGCAAGGAGATGAAGGGAACAATTCTTGCCCTTCTCGCAGCCTTTCCTTGCCTCTTCATCCCCTTGTAATCACCCCTCTGTGACCAGCAGATCAGTGTAAACACATAGACTGTTCCATCCTTTCCTTCCAGCTCAGCGAGCTGGGGTCAAGTCCTTCCTGATGCATTGCGTAGCTGTTCTCATTTCTTGCTTTGAGATACCTGTACACATCCATACATCTACCTACACATGCATATGCACATTTGTGTGTGTTCATTTATGCAGCCTCACATTGTCATGATTTATTCATCATCCCTTCTTCCTTATATGTCCTTTGTAAGACCCAGAGTTTCACAGGATCTCAGGGGAGCTGTGCAGGGATCAGAGGAAAGTCCATCTTCGCCTGCTTGTGTCTGAGCCAGGATGAGGTGCAGCCGAGATTGACCTTTACACAGGTAAAGAGCAGGAAGGGCTTTTAAAGGCAATGTGTCCTGAGTGACCTGAAGCACTCAGCACTCAACTAAACTGCAGGATTACAAACATGAGCTGACCACCCCTGTATCGAGGTATTGTGCTCTCCACAGCTCACTTCTTTTTTTTTTCTCCTTGGAAATAGTTGCTAAAGATTCACTATAAACTTTATATTATTCCATAGCAAAAGAAACATAAATATGTAAAGAAACTTGCCACTGCCAATCTCTCAATGTAGCCTTTAAAATATTTCTTAATGTTTGGAAAGAAATGGAACTTTCTTTGGAATAGATGGAGCTTTCTTTTGGAAAGCTTCCAGAGACAGGGAACCTTGCTGCCTTCTAAACTGCAGTAGCAATAATAATGGTAGTGATGATGATGTAGCACATAAAAAATGGATGTAAGCAAGGTCTGAAGACCCAAGTGATGAACCACACCATGCCAGAGCCCTGCGTTTCCCCTTCTGAATGTCATACTGATGCTGTAGGAATATTGACGATCTGATGGCAGCATCTGAAAGTAACCTGCATTTAATATTCATCATTTTCCTTCCTTGCTCTGAAAACGGAAAGAAAAACCTGCTCTCAGCAATTTTTCCTCGGAGTAGACTCATTTCCGAGACTAATTCAACCATGGTGTCCCTGGGGAAGGATGGAGCACTGCCTGCCAGCCCCCTCTGCAGTTAGAAGCGTTAAGAAGCACACATTCTCCCTCTCCTCCTTTATATATATTTTTAATTTTATATATATATTTATATAAATTTTAATTATTCTTTCTTTTTCCTTCCTGAAGCGACGGCCGCCGGAGCTACGGGAGCAGTGCTTGGCCCTACGGCGTCCCCTGGCGGCCGCGCAGCCCCGCGCAACCCTGCGCGCTCCCTCCTCCCTCTTCAACCGAATTCGAGGAACTTCAAGTGTGAGGGATTTGGAAGCAACACTCAGAACTCAAAAAAAAAAAAAAAAAAAAGCTTTAAAAAGTCAAGCGCAAGTCATAATGTATCACAGTGGTGAGTGTGAAAATATAGCTTTTTGCTCCTGCCCGGTGGAAATCAAGGCTGTCCCCCTCACGTAAATTCAGCACTCTACAGTGTCAGCTGTGACATGAAAATATGAAGAGAAATGGGCTACTATCTGTTTGCTGCAGCTGTTGAGGCAGCCTGGGACATCAGTTTCACTCAGGGACAAACACCAAGAGGCAAAGTCAAGGTATTGCCCAGTGATGCTCTTCAAAAAGTTAAAATTAAGCCTATGAATCAGGCTGACTAAATGCCATTATTTCATGTGGTTTCACTTGTCCTCCCGTACTCAAGGTGGTGGCCGAGAAACGTGTAGAGCACAGGTAAGTCAGGTGATAAGCAAAGGAAGCCCTCCAGCAGAACAAGCTCTCTCCCACTGCCTCCACCCTGCAGAGACTGTCCCAGCAGCAGGATCTTCCCTGGTGCCTCCACTGAAAGATGCAGAGGAAAAGCCCCAGTCTGGCATGTCAAGACCTGGTGCACAACTGCGACTGCCACAGTGCAGGACAGTGGATGAGCCAGTCTACAAGGTATGGCATGAAATTCATCTTCACCCTCTGCACAAACTTCGTTACATTCCTTTTGCATTACTTAGCTCTGCTGATACTGATAAATTGCCACAATAACTGAGGAGTGAGATAACAGAGATACTAATTTGCAGTCTAACATGAATTAATTCTCTCTTAATCAGAACTGCTTTGATAGCATAGTGGGTATCAAGGGTACAGCACTTCTTAGTATTAAATATTTGTGTGTCTGAAGTAGTCTTAAAAAATATGACTAAAGTAGTCTCAAAATCAGAAAAGAGGGAAGAAAAACAAAACTTGAAATACACTCTTACTATAAAATATTTGAAAGTGTAACTTAAGGACAATTTGATTAGCACCAGGAAACTACAAGATTAACTTCATGTACTGTTCATGTGAAGATTAGTTTATAATTCACTGTATTAAAAGTAATCCTGTTTATTATGTGGTGAAGTACAGGTTGCACATTAAATAATGTTAACAAATACACACTTAATACTTGTAAAAAAAGTACTTAAAATGTTGTTAACTCCATCACTAACAGGTTTTGTGTAAGTGTTCTGTACAAGAAAATACAAGATGCAATATCCTATTCACAGCAACTAACCAGGGCGCATTTAAACTGATCTTAATGAATGCATGCAGCTGGCAAAGGGGTTACAAAGCAAGGAAGTAGCATTATTTTCTCAGCAATTCTAGCAAAGAATTTCAGAATTCTTTGAAGACATCTTTATGGTGTTTGGAACATGAAAAAACCTGACACACATAGGTCTTCCCTACTTCAGAGAGTTATGACACATCATTGTGATGTGTGATTTTACATAATCTGCGTAAAAGAATCTGAACCTAAAACTTCCTCATACACCATTCAGCTCTCACAAACTAGAACTATTAGAGGTGTTTAAAGTATTTTTGGACCATTTAAAGATTTATGGTTTGATTTACTGTTATACGTTTAGAGTACAAAGCAATCAACTGAGAGAACATTTTTTCGTGAGAGTACAGGTCACTGTAAAAAGCTCTTACCTTCACTGCTGTTTTTCAAACCTAATTAAGAACATTTTGCTATTTGTTCTTTCTTTAGACCACATATAGTCTACTAATATCTGTAGATAAAATGAAATGAACAGCTGTGACTGGAAAACTAAAGGTACAGCCTTTTAATTTTTTTACCATGTACGCTTCCAGGTAATCTGACAGACAGGGTGAAGTCCATTGAAAATCATAGACACAACTGCTTTCAAATTAGCAAAATTGGGATATCTCTGACTCCTGTTAAAATGAGCAAAATAAAAAAATTATGATGTGGCTGTCACTAATTAAAGCAATAATCAGTGTGATGTTGACCTACTTTAAAGATTTAGTTCCTCATTTCTCTTCTGTAGAGGATTTAAAAGGCCAATCCAAATAAGTAATTTCCTCTAAAAGAGTGCCAAAACCCCCAAAGAAAACAGAAAAATCAGAAGGTTTTCCTTCTTTAATTTCTTTTGCTCAATTTCAAGCAATTAAAATGTCAGATTCCGTGCCTCAGTCATACCAATGAAACCACGTGTAGGTTTCAGGTCACAAGTATTTAACAAATACATAGAAATCTTGACTTTTTAACTTGTCAGCTAAGAAGAAGGCATTACTAATTTTACCATGGCCAGTACAAAATCAAAACAACATATATGTCTCTTCAGATAGTTCTTCTGCACTTACATGTTCACAAACTTGATTTTAGTAAGCTTGACTTTTTAGCAGAATGTTGCAATCCTAAAACCAAGGACAAGTCTTAAACATGCAGGAAGAAGATTCAAAGCAGGTAGGATGCAATACATGTCTGGAAAAGAATTCCATCCTTCCCTATATGAAATCTGGATTTAAGATGGCACTCCAGCACATACTGCAGTCCCCAGCTGTGGTCAGGCCCTGTAGCTCCATACTGGGGTAAGAGATTTCCTGTGCTCAGAGCCACCCACAACTGTCAGGATCAGGCAGGCACTTGGGGGCTGTTGAATCCACTTGACCTGAAGATTCATACTACTCACAAGAGTAACGGGCATGACCAAGGCCAGTGGTCATACTATATGCTTAATGCAGTCAATTAAACATATCCAGGGACTTCCTAATATTATACATGCACAAAATAGAGTATTAATTCTGCATTAAGAGAAGAACTGTATAATAATAGTAGAGGTAGACCAGAAATACTTTTCCTGATCTAAGAAAAAGAAGGAAGGACTTTTGAAATATTATGCAAGAAAAAACAGAATGACTTTAAGGATCGGGAATAATAGAATTAAATGTCACATAAAAATCTAGAAGATCACACTCTGGAATTAATTAAACAGTTTCATGTTCTAAGTTAGGACTACAAATGGCTGGAGGCAATGGGAGGAAAAAGCTGTAAGGTATTGTTTGGTTGCACAATATCTGTATGCTAGGTGTGTGATATACCATGGGAAAGAATAAAAAAGCCAGTGGGATGCTATTAGAGGAAATTATTTTATGTTGTAACCCTCAGTGCAGGCAAGACTTCATTGGGAATATTATTTACGGTCTGATCAGTCATGGTCAGCCAAAGGGCTGCCAAGACAGAAAAGAGGATGAAAAGCCTCCGGTCCATGAGGTGATGGCAAGAACTTGATTTGTGAGTTCAGCGAAGTGAAGTCAGAGGGGACGTATGATGGCTCTTGGCAAATACCCAAGAAGAAACAACACTGGGATAGGCAAAAAAGTAATTGTACTACGGGATGCTAGCACTAACATTATCTTGAGGGGTGGGAAATCAACAAATCCCAAACTAATCTAAGCATAAAGGGAAGTAAATTTGTAAACAGTCTTCTCATAAACTGGTGGAGTGGAAAAAAACCTGATTTTAAGAGCAAGCTAACTTTACTAGGAAGATTATTCTGATCTTTTAACATGCTGAAATCTAAAAAAAAAAAAAAATAAAAAAAAATAGAACAGATCTCAGCCTGGATCAAGCAAAATATTTTAGACATATTTATAAGCTCCAAATCTATGGCAGTTATAAAATAAAAGGTTGGTTTGAAAGAGGGGATGAGAGAAAGATAATGAGAGCAAAAGAGCAATAAGAGGGGGGAATGCAAAAGTCGAAGACAGGAAGAGACAGAAACTGGGAGAATCAAGGAGAAACAGGGAGAAACAGAGAAAGGGAAGAAAAGGGATATATTTTCAAATAAAAGAAAATGTACAAACCAAGATATTTTAATCCATTAATTCAAGGTATTTTTGAGTTGGGTAACTTATCAAAATGTACTGTTTCACTGGTTTCAATGAATCAGCATATTCTTCTTTTAAAAAAAGTTATTAAAATATCCTACATGCACTGCTCTACAAATAACCCTCTGATCTGCTTTGAAGTGTTCCTTCAGTCATTATGCAGAACTTGCATAATGAGATAGACTGCAAGCTGTCAATAATACTGCAAGCTTGCAGGAACAGAAAATCAGGGTATATTATGGCTTTGTTAACATTGCTGGAAACAAATTCTCTAAATCAAGAGATCCTAAAGCTTTTATCTTTATTATTTTTTTCTGATTTTAAGAGATAAGGAAATGCAAAGATAATCTGTTTATAGATTTTGTGGACTGACAGAAGAACATTTAGCAAGTTCTACTAACTGCAGGTAATCAAAGAACCACAGTTCCTGGGAGTTTATGATTAAATGCTCAGATATATTGTTTTTGCCTGCATGGTGACTTGCACACAGGCATATATAGATTCAAAAATATGGATAAATAAATATACCCCAGGTATCAGCTATATTAACATTAAACCATTTTCAAACAATTAGCAGTCCCTAAAGGTATGTTACATCATGTTTACAAGCTTCAGCAATACATAACCTTCATATAATTAAAATGCTTTTATTTTCCCTCATTTTTGGAGACAAACACTGGAGGAAAGCCACCTAAGGCTGCAAAAGTTTGAAGAAATCCTAAACAGAGGAAAACAAGAGGTTAGAACTAAAAATGCTTGGCTGTTTTTGCCGTCTTAAACTATAGACACTTCTGCCTTTCCAGACATAAACATGAACCTGCAAGAAGGCAGCTATTCTATGGATCATGTGTGGATGTGAAGAAACAAAGATGAAAGAGTATGCAAGCTTGTCTGCACAGAAACTGCAAAAGTGCCTGGAATATTAGGGGAACACAGAAGCCAAGTATCAGGAAGATCGCAACTGAACCTGAGTAGAACTGAATACTGAGATTCCATGCAATATTCAGTGAAGAGGAAAAATTCTGCAACTTCAGAAGTTTATACCACAATATGGAGAAGCACAGAAAGGAGACAAATAGTTCAAAGAGCAACAGAACTGTGAAAATTACACAGTTTGGTTTTTTTTTTTTAATTTACAATGAATTTTCTTCTCTTACATACGCTCAGCCTTTTATGTTTAGCTTAAGATGCTTGTACAATCAAGTTTCTTTCCAGCAAACATTAACCTTTTGTGGGCAAACACAAAAATCACTCCATTTTTATGTCTTCACATGCACATGTTTTCATTCCATTTATTTAAGGGCCCATCATCTCAGAAAGTAAGAACAATTCTGTCCAGTAAGCAAGAACCGCAGACAGGTCTCAAGTGAATAAGGAATGCCTTTGAAAAGCCTTTTTCTGCTGAAAACGAAAACATTTGCTGAGCATGTCAGAGGAAGCTGTGTCTGTTGGATTCCCAACCACAGCATATTTCTTCCTTGAAGAAACAGGATGAATGGCAGAGGAGATGGTGAGCAGGGATAAAACTTGAGTTCTGGTACTGCAATTTCAGTCCAAAGCCTGCCCTGAAGGAGGCGATACAAGAGGCTGCTAAGGAAAGGGAAGACAAATCCTTCCTTCTGCTTATGTATGTCCAGACCTGGAATTTAGAAAGACCAATAAGGAAGGAGAACAGCAACTGAATCCAAACAGGGAAAAGGCAGTAACAACTCCTATACAGCAATTACAAATGTCAGAGATAAACCAGAATGGCCTTATCAGTGAAAGAGAAAGATGGCTGCTCTTTTGAAATTCTTCTGAAAAATCCCTACAGAATGAGCAGTAAAAAGCTGGCTTTGAATCTCCTAAAATTTTACAGAAGCATTAAATTAGTGTTTATATACAGTCATTAATTAATGTAACCAAATCAATAGAATGCATGACAGTATTGCATATTTTCCCCATCCAAAATTCTGTGTTTCCCTGTCATGCTTCAGAGTTTGCATCCTATAGCATGGTTCCTACATTTTCCTTAACTTTAGAAACTGTCCTACTTACAACCACTGCTCTTCTGGCTGAGAACAACAAGATGGGGTTCTAACCATCAACACTGTTCGGCATCAGAGTGAAGTTTGGTGAAATGAACCTTCTACCCCCAGGTGTGATGGATTGGAGCTGAAATACCTGGGTTGCATAGACAGTTGCCATGCCCTCCTACTCCTACCAAGAGCCGACATGTTCAGAAAGTGATCAAGATGTAGCGAGAGATCAGCAGATATCACTCTAACAGATCATGTTTTCTGAAGGTTCTGGAGAAACAAACTAAGGAGTGATGGAGAGGTTCTGGAGAGCTGATTTAGCAGAAATGAACTTCCTCCTTTTTCAGTTTGCCTAATAGAGAGAGAAAATCTAACGAAAAAGGTATTCTTAACAGGGCCAAAAATTGTCTGAGCTCTCCCAAACAAGCAGCTTCAGAAAAATAAAACACTGAAAAATGCACAGCAAGAACTTAATATGACCAAGATGAATAATGAAAAGTGACTTGACACTCTTTACTTAAAAGTCTTCTACATTCTGGTTTCTGACTATGAATTATTTAAAAGGTGTTTGGAAAACACCATCACTTATGGGAAAAATATGCATCTCTAAAGAGATCACATCTTTGTGGACAGGTTCCTAATTTAATATTTCAATATATTAAATCAGGGGTGCTAAGATATTGAAACAAGAAAAAGTAATTTTAAGAAGTTTATTTACACAGTTGTTGTTTTGTTTTTTTTTTCTCCCTTCTGAATGTGGTGTAATAGCACAGCATGGGAGGGCTAAAGAATTATGCCAGCAGCCTGAGACACAGCAATTGCCAGACAACTGGCATCTAAATTCAACAGTATTTATGATCTTCCTTCTAATGGCTGGTTCTCACCATGGAGAACTCCAGGGACAGTACCTTTCTGGTAAGCCCAGTGCTGGTACTCAGTCTAGGCTTCAGTGACTACTTATCTACAGCTTTTGAGATCTGCCTGCCCTGGCTAGAGCAGATAAGTAGATGTATATACAAGTTGCACAGCCCTTCATCAGGTTGTGTCCTCAGTGCTGGGTTTTGTGAAGCACTAGTATAGCTTATTTAAGTTCCAGCTAAAGTTTCTCAGTTCCCAGTGAAAGCAAGCTGTGAGCACAGCAGCACTCATTACTACAAAAGCTCTCTCTCATTGGAACTGATTAAGAAGAAACCGTACCAAGTACTTCTGCAGATGAAGCACTGGCTGAGCAAAGGAGCAACATTACAAATGTTACATTTTCAGGATCTAATTTGTATGATTCTCTTCACTGCTCTCCACTACACGTATGATCCAACTCTATTTATACCAAAGTAGGGACAGTAGGGACTGCTTAATCAGGACAGTCTAATGTATGGGCAGTTATCCAAAGCCACATGTTTTCTAAATTCTGTATGAGCAGAGATGGAGCTTAAGAGCTCTGTAGGGATCAGAGCTGCTAACAGACTTCTAAGGAGGGCTCTGGGGACTGGGATGTGCATAATGAGAAAATCTGGATATTTAGTGTGAAGAACTGTCCCAGTCCATTCTAGCAATGGGATAAATTGTGTAGCCTGTGATTTTCCTCTTTTTGTTATTCATGTGGCTGAAAATGGTTCAGAAGGAGGAGATCTGGACAACTTGGTCAAGCATGCTGTTGGGAAGTGCAAATATATAGGCAAATTTTCTTGCCAGCTCCCACCTCTTCAGGCTAGAGCATCATATCTGCAGGCTACATCCTTATTTATTCCCATGTGTTACACTTGAACATCATATGCATATAGTGTGTGTATATATCTATGTACATATTAAATGTGTGTTTATATATGTACATGCACACATAAACTTAGAACACATCTACTAAAACAAAGGGGTCTAGAAAAGCTTTAAAATTCTGGATTTATAAAAGAAGAGAAAAAAAATCTTCCAAAATACCTCATTCGATGTTTTCTTCTATTGTTCTTTCCACCTAAGTGCTTCCACTATATTTAACATACTGATGTCTGAAGACATCCTTGGTGTCTACCTTTAGTTCTAATCCAGTTGTTTTGTTACTGAATCAGTTTAGAAAAACATCTCTGTTCAGGAAAGTACTGAAGCATGCACTTCAGTACATTCTTAAAAGTAAGTGACTTTTTGAACCAGCCTAATAATTTAAAGTAGCATTAATAAACATTCCTTAATAAACAATTCAATTTGGTATGTGTTTACAGTGCAGTGCTGCTCCGATACTTTCACGTTTCTTTGCTTTTACCACAAAGATGACAAACAGTGGGACATAAAAATATTTTTGCTAGTCGAGTCTTAAGATGGCTTTGAAGAGCCTCATTTTCAGAAGCACACCACTTCAGAAAATCAAGTTCACAATGAAAGAGCGGACCTCTAGCACCCTACATCAGTAATTTTTTTTTGAAAACTTGACCTGCTCTTCTAGGCAAACCATTATATCCATAGCAACATATAATTCACCTTCCAGCTTGCCATTGCAGTTTTGTAACTATTGATTGCATCGTGAACAGTTGTTGGGACTAATCACAAGTGGTATGGGCATATGAGTATGCACACGTCTGTGTATGTGTGTGTGTGTATGAGGTACAAAACAATGTTTGCCCATGCAAAGAGTTCTCTCTTTCCTCAAGGCTCAGTCAGAAAAGGCTCCGGGAGTGCAAACAGAGATTTTCCTAAAACACTTCCCACCACTTATCTGTCTTTTCTGCAAAAAGTATGCGTGTTACGTTCAAGAATTGGATCAATTCGGTAACGAAACACTTCAGCAGTGGTACAAAGAAGGACTGTGGAAACAGTCCAGTTTGTGGCCAATGCAGCATAGGAGGAGAACCGTCCACCAGTCTTGCAGCCTGACCCCTACACCAGTAATCCCAGTTGGGCTCCAGTGCAGAGCTAGATATTGTTCTCTTCCTATGACAGTGGGAGGATGAGGGCATTGCCACTTTCTGCATCAGCACTCCCAGCTGCGCACTCCCCTTTTCCCACTGCTTCCTCAGCTTTGGAGCTGAGGGCCTGCACATAATTTGGAGAGCTCCTTTGAAATCCAGGCATTTTACTCCTGTAGTTCAGCAAATACTACCACAACCAGTGATAGATGCATAAGGATAAGAGCACAAAGAAGGAATAAGCAACAGAGACCTGTGTAAGGGGATGGGGGAAAAGCAATGCTTTCACTGAGAAAAGACATACAGAACTTTATATTAAAATTTATATATAACTGGTCATACTTTACAACAGCTTAGGAATTACCTGCACCTCCCAAGTGACATCAACTTAACAAATGCCCTGAACAACTAGCTTAGTTCAGGAGTGCTTAGAAGAGAAAAAAGATCTAAATGCATTTGATATGTAAATCTAACCAGCTCTTCTTGCCACACAAAAGGAATTTATCCTCTTTTTAAATTTTTAGCTTTATAATGGCAGTGGTGTTCTTAGGGACATCTCTACTCAAATTCAGAACTCCCCATTTTGTATAAATATGTTAGCTTAATAAAGTAGGGCTGGCCATAAATAAATAAATAAATAAATAAAAAGTGTGAAGATTTTCAATTTCACACTTGTTTCATATCAGAGGAAAAAAATTACATTTCTCATATGTTCACCATACACCCATACATGCAGCCAAGAGAGAACCTTACTGCTGCTAAGTTTTGTTAATACAGCCTTCTTAAATCCAATACAGCTTCCTTCCTCTCAGAAATGAAAAAAACAAAGATGCCATTGCAAGCCATGGTTACTCTGATGTTGTAGCTACTCACATAGCCTCTCCCGCTACGAGGATAGCATTTGGCAAGTCTTTGTCAGTAGAGAAACTGCATTTAATTTGTGGCACTGTCACAAAACTAGACTGGAAACACAGCCCTTGTACTAATACACCAATAAAAATCCCAAGCTAAAAATATTAAAGATGACGTTGTTCAAATATTCCTCCTACACACATGAAACCTAAAATTGCCTTAAGGACTACTCTTCATTAAAGTTCCATTAAATGGGCTGTTACAATAAATTAGCAAATTACTTCTTAGAACCACAGCACATGGTTCCACTCAGAATAATGCAGAACGCATGACTTACATTAAGCAGATTTTCAAGCCTGTTATCAAAACTATCATTCACTTTATGTCTAACAAGAATTCTGCAACATTATAATTTAACTGAACTTAGATATTGTTACAAGGAATGCAGTTTGGTTTTAAATTGTCTTTGTTATGCAGAAGAAAGTTTGAATTGATGTACTTGTACATCTCTCCTGACTTCAGTCAAACCTGCAAGATAAAGGGTGTCTGGAGTTAACCAAAGCTCTGCCTGGAGTCCATGGGTCTACTCCCTACTTTTTTTGGTCTCAGGCAGACAGGAAAAAACACTATGCCTCTCTTATCTTCATGAGGGTAAACTCTGAGCTAGATTTAAGATCCTCAATCAATCAAAGACAATTCTTGCCTTAGAGATGTTACTCAGCTTTACTGTGATTCTGGCCAACCTCCTCAGATGAAGACATTAGAGCCAGAGTTTTAGCTATACCTGATATCAACAATGTCCAGATAATGTCATACAAAAACACTAAAATCTGTCCATCAGGTAGCATGAGAACATACAGGTTTATAGGCACTACAGATTTACAGTGCTTATGCACAGGGCTACTTTCATTCTCTGGAGTATAGTTTTTTGAGGGGAGAAAGTAGGACAGACTGCCTCCTGCTTTAGCTGCTCAGATCCGTTTCAAGCCAATAAAATCTGAGCAACACTTACAACACACAACCCTTACTTTCCTCATACTGACCCCGTGCTTTTGTGCATGGGAATGCATGCCTAGCTCTTGTCCGTGATCAGCTTACAGAGCATGTATAGACTGTGATCCCCATCAGCTCCTCACTGGCTGCTGCTGAGAAACACTGCTATCAACCTGCTGAGAGTCTTGAATTTTACCAAAGCATGTATCAATAGGACAAGAATACCAAATGGTTCCTATGAAAAAAAAAAGTGGAAAATTACTTATTAAACAGCTTGAGCACACACTGTAACTATTCCTTTTTACCTCAACCATGGAAGGTCTTCAAAGCTAAGGTCTCCCCCTGCTACGCACCGTGTGCATGGGCTACACTCAGGGGCCACTTGGCTACTAACCTTAGATGAAGAAACAGATACATACTAAAGCTGTGAGGAGCTGAAGGAAATAATGGTTAAGTAGCAATCACAATCAAGCACATTTCTAATACTTGTAAGGTTTCTTGGAGACATCATGGATGGCATGTGCCCTCTTGCTTGTGCATCTGATTAACAGCTCTTCTAGATCGGTGGGATTTTAGTGCAGGAGAGCAAATGGAGCCGATAATGTGGTCTTGTACCACTCAGCAACTTCTCATCCCTTCTTGATTAAATCAGTTCACTTCAGTCCTTTTCACCTCACTTTCCCTTGCTTCTATCTATTAACTTTGATTCAAAGATGTACCTGGGCATTTAACTGCATGTGTGGGAAATTTCTGTGTGTAATATTCTCAGGATACGCTAGTTTAAGACTAAATGGGAAGCATTAACACCCTTTAAAAAAGAAACACCAAACAACCAAAACCAAACAAAAATGAAAATAAACCCCAGGATTCAATCCATCACACTCAGTTTCTGTAGAAGCTAGGATTAGAGTCTCGGCTGAAGTAAAACAATGACAGTAGGCAGGAACTGAACTTGTAACTCCTTTCCTTACACTTCAAAGTGGTTACCCCATTTAACTGAGCTTAACAGGCCCCAGATTTGTTTTATCTTAATGACTCCTTGCATGGCTTATCCATTCTCAGAGAGAAAAAGAGCAGTGATGGAGATGGAGTTGGCAGCAGTGTGGAGAGCCAGGAAGGCTTTCATAGGCCAATACCCTAGGATGAACCATCACATTTTAGAGTGCACTATGGACATGAGCTTCTAAGACACTTTATAAGGAACCTAGAGCTGAGAGAGATGCTTTGCTTTAAAGGGTGAAACAAAAACAATTAAGTACATCTGCTTGTAAAACTATAACAAATTAAAAATGCTCAGTGTCATAATTTGTAGGATGACTGTGAAACTGACATTTTCCTGGGAGGTAAAGGGAACATCTTCCACTTAGTTCTGTAGTTTACCATCATTTGCATGAAACAACAGATATTCTTCTCACTTAAGACTTTGCTCCCTACAAGGAGCAATTCATCCACCAACTACTTCTTAGAGATGAACCTCCTCCTAGAAGTGCCTGTCTATCTACTCTAGAGGAGATCCACTCTGGCTGAATTGTTTCTAGGCAGCTGTGGTCTGGCAAGGTGGATCCCTGGTTTCCTTAACTCCCATTCCTAGGGTCACATCCAGGTCTAAAACCTGAAAGATTTAGGGTCATTACACTTGACACAAACATAGGAAGAAACACTTGATTCCAGGGCCAGAGGCTTAGTAGACCTTCTAGTGCAATTTCTAAGCTGACAGTGCTGTCTTTGCTGCTTTAATGACTTCTATGGAGATGTGGTCTCTGCAGCTACCGATAGGACAAAACCAATTTTCTTCATCTTGCATTCACAGCACTTCCTTTAGAGGAATTATGTCTTTTCCTGGTTTAAACAAATAAAATAGTATTTGGGTTATATGATTCAGATGATTAAAACACATTCACTTGTGATACTGCTTATTCCCTGCAACAGGGACTGAATTTTTCAGATTATGCACACAGCTAAAAACCCGTAAATTTTGTCATTCATATCCATAAGCAGCATGGCAAGCTGGCAAAAGCTATTACGTTTCAGTTACACAAGTGTGCTAAATTACTCAGTCAACTGACATCTGGCATGAACTATAAATTGCTCGCAAAATTCTTTTAGAAAGATTATTATATTATTATTAATTTGCTGTGTATGTCAAAGCATATCACACACACAGCAATCCTGAAATTAATTAGCATTTTCAAGTATCACACTGAAAAGGCCCACAAAGCCAGCAGAAATAATCTCCAAGATACTAGCAGGTTACGCACTGCTGGCACAACTTGCCTTCAACATATTTCCTTCAATCCATTTTTAAGAATAAAACACAAGAAACTTTTTTAAAACAATCTCTTTGTCTCATATCCTTGACTATCACAAATTAGGCTCAGAGGCTAAGATTTCATTTGCAATTTATATTCAGTAAATACAAAGCATTTAGAAAAATTGCAGTATTTTTTACTCATTTTCTAGCAATTCAAAGCACCACGATAAGACACTCAGTTAAATAAAGCAGCACAGAGAACAGCTTAACGATTTAAGCATTATTCAGAACATAGGGCTCCATTCTGGATTTACTGTTATACTTCAAAATACCTAGACAGGAAAGCTGAGCAATATTTCACTAACACCACTATTCAATAAAATTTCATATATAATTTCAATATAATTTCAAATAAAAAATCATTCGGAGCATAAAAACAAAGGTTAAATTCAACAATGTTTTATGAACATGCTTAATGAGAATGAGATTTCACCCAAAGCCCCTCAGTTGAAAGACCAAAAGCTGCAGTAAAAATTCAGACCCTTGGAGAAGTATGAGTACACCTGAATCACAGTTGCCTGGGAAGTTTCACTGATTCCTCCTTGTGGCATTTGCAGCACAATCACGGAAATATCACATGAAATCCTTTTCCCAGCCATGAGTGTAGCAGACAGCTCAGACAGCAGGAGTGAAAGTATGCAGAAAACCCAAATTTGGCAGTTCCTGCTTCCAGGATTTTGGACTCTGCAAATTACTTCAAATGTATTTAGCAACAACCCTGGGATATGTTCTAGAAAGGAGGTGCTGAAAGCCCACCCACCAAGTTGTCGCATGCTTCATAGCATTTACCACCCATCTCTGTGCACTGAGTGCAATTTTTCATGAATATAGAAAGCATAACCTTTAAATAAATAAAGGATAATTAACTCTCTTCCACTCAGTAACTAAACCCTGGGGGAGGGTGTGGGGTTTCTGTGTGCGTTTCTTCAGTCTAGTCTCTAATCTTTGCCCGGTGACTGAATCATAGAATGGTTTGGGTTGGAAGCAACCTTAAAGCTCACCTAGGTCCAACCCACCTGCTATGGACATGGGCACCTCCCACTTAGACCAGGTTGCTCAAAGCCCAGTTCAGCCTGGCCTTGAACACTGCGAGTGATGGGGTAGCCATAGCTTTTCCGGGCAACCTGTGCCAGGGCCTCACCACCCTTACAGTACAGAATTTCTTCCTAATATCTAATCTAAATCCAACTTCTTTCAGTTTAAAGCCATTCCCCCTTGTCCTACCACTACGTGACCTTAACAGTTGCAGCAGACAATGTTTGGTGTGTGCGACTTCTGTTCCTTGCATAAGGATTTCTTCATCTCATCCTAAAGAAAACCAGCTCATGTGCTCTAAGACCATCCTGTGGTGTGTACCAACACATGCTAAGGTCATAATATCACTCCTGGATACCACTGGAACAGAGGCTCCTGTTATGCAGACTGCCAGAAGTCCAGTAGCAAACAATGAAAAATTTGACAATATGAACATATTCTTCAGCTTCCAACTTTGTACCTTTTGAATCATACGTAAATAAACTGGCTAATGGAATCTAAACCAGCCACTATGCCCATGCTCACCGTTGTGATGGATGTGTAGGGGAATCATAGAATAATTTGGGTTGGAAAGGACCTCCAAAGTTCATGTAGTCCAACCCCCCTGCAATGAGCAAGGCCACATTCCACTAGACCGGGTTCCCCAGAACCACATCCATCCTGACCCTGAATGCCTCCAGGGATGGCGCATCCACCACCTCTCTGGGAAGCCTGTGCCAGGATTTTATGACCCTCATTGTAAAAAGTCTTTCTCACGTCCAGCCTGAATTTCCCCTCTTTCAGTTTAAAACCATCACTCCTCATCTTCTCACAACAGGCCCTGCTGAAAAGTCTCTCCCCATCTTTCTTATAGGCCCCTTTTAGAACTGAAAGGCCACAACAGGATCTCTGCAGAGCCTCCTGTTCTCCAGGCTGAACAAGCCCAACTCTCTCAGCCTTTCCTCACAGGAGAGGTGCTCCATCCCTCTGATCATTTTTGAATGAAGGAAAAGAGCGAAGGGCCATTTCATTCTCCTGCATGTTTCTGACACACTGCCCTGCAGTCACACACGTGCTCAGAAACAGCATGCTCAGATGCCCCTGATGTAAAATACTGATACTAGAATCCTTCTTTGGCAGTGAGGCAGGGAATGTAAGTGCCTACCTGCAGTGACTGCTGGCAGCATGTGGCCCTAAACTAATGTATTCCTATCCGAGCAAGCGAGTGAGAAACTTTTCTGCGAACGTATTAAGAGTTGGCAAAAACTTTGCTTCCGTACCCTGCCAGCTTTTGGCCCGCCCCTGGGACACGCGCTCACTCCAGGCACGGCGGACTCACGCTCCGGGCCCGGGGCCGCCGGCGCCTTGCCGGCAGCAGGAAGCAAGCGCCCGATCCCTTTGCCTCTCGCGGCCCCGTGGGAAAAGGCAGCGAGAGAAGCGGCGGGAGGGGCAGCGCCGGCGCTCACCAGCTCCGCGGCCGCACTCCCGGCGCTACCCAGCGGGGACTGCCCGCCCCGCCAAGCCCTCTCCCAGCCCGGTCGCATGGTGCCATCTAGTGACCGGCGCGCGGACTGACACCGGCACGCACAGGCACCCACCGGCAGCGCACGAGCCTCTCTCCCCTCACCGGCGCAGCTGCCAGCCGGCTCTCCCCCTGCAACCCCGTAGCTACTGCCGGGAGGGAACTCCCAGCAATGGCACCATAAAAGCAGGCAGCGAACAAGACACGTGGGCAAAGACACGAAAATTAAAAAGTAGGCCCCAAAAGTACCTTTATCTCCCCCAAAACACAAATGCGAATATTCCCCAGAAAAGTGGTGTGTGTGGGGGGGAGAACAGCAAACCAGCCCCATGCCATATTCAGCTTCTAGATAATGTGGTTATTTAGCAATCCCAGAAAGGTCCTAGTGCCAGTGCTAACCAGGCTCAGAACAATTACAGATTACAAATAAAAAATTACAACTTTTGCAAATGACAAATTAGTATGGCCCAGGATTTAAGCACAGCATACTTCACCTGGCAGCATCAGTGCAAGCCAGGGTAACAGAAGGGTTTATGTTTATATAGCTCAGGCTATGCCAGATAGTTTCACATAGACACAAATTGTCCAAGAGAAGTTTTTCTTGCTGGAGTTCATGAAGACTTTTGTGGTCTGCTGAGTGATACAGAAGCCAAAGTACAGTTAACCAAATAACCTGTGAGTAAGGCATCTGATATTAGCCTAAAGGTAATGGGGCATTAGTCAGGTAGGGAAAGTTGTTTATCAGCTGTCTGGCTTTATATGCCTGTAGGATTTACATTTTCAAGGACAATTCAAAAGTTCATTTACTTTTAAGCAGAGTGCTTGATTCTTGTATATTCAAGTGATGTCAGACACTGGGGTTTTTTAAATGGGGGGAAAATCCCTTCACAATCACAAAATCAAAAGAGTTTGTAATACTTAATTTGACTTAAAAGATCAGGGCAATCAAGTTAGTGTGCCCTTTTACAGGAGTTTAAAATTATCCAACCATGGCCCCACACATTCAAAAAAGCCTTTCAACTTGTTCTTCCATAAGCATAGAAATAGCCACACTTCACAGTTTTCAATGAAGTTTACAGCATTTTGCTATTTGTCTGACTGTCAGCAGGCAGCATTCATCCAGCAGCAGGCAAATACATTAAGAGAAGAAGGCAAAATTAGAGAATCATGGAGAGCTGAGAACTCAGCAGCTGTTTCCCCTTGAATTATCTACTTAGGAGTCCCTTCTCTGCATGCTTGACATGGGAACAAAAGAGGCTGCCGTCCCTCTTCCCAGCCGTGGCTGACAACCTGTGACAGACTATCTGGCAAGCAGCAGACCCATTACTGGGTCACTGGGAAGGCTCAGGAGACATCTATGATG